TCCAGCAGTAAACTGAACCAAAGCACTCTACTAATCCCACCTTCTGACACTGGGAGGCTGCCCACACTCAACAAAAGAAAACAGAGCACTGATTCACTGCACAGCACATCGCAGATCCACCTGCAACAGCCGGGAAGAGCAGGCTGTTATGGAAATTGCACTGAAGCTCGTATGCCCTGCTTGTGAGCTGGCCTGGGGGAAAAGCAGCTTTGTTTCAATGCACCCACTGATGCAAACACATGGGGTGTCTGAGAAACAGCTGCCCCGCTTGTTTCAGTGGGTGCAGGTGCTGTCAGCTTGCAGAGCTGCTGCACCTGAGCTGCCAAGGACACCCATCATGCACGAGCGCACTAACAGAAACCAGCCCCAGCACACAGCGTTTCCTGAGCTATTCTTTTAATTACAGACAATGACACTGCTCCTTTCATTAATAAGATTCAACTGCAAGTTTGCTAAACATGTGTGCTAGGACAAAACCCAAAAAATCCCATCTGACAAAAACTGCATTTGCTCACTTCTCGGGGAGACTGTTCTGTGTCTCCATGACACGATGCTGCTAAAGCTAATGAAGAGGAGACCTTTATTAGATGTGACTAACAACAAAAGAGACTCTACTTCCTAATATTTTTTTTCTAAAACCTGTTCTCCTCTCCAACTATTACTCTGTGGAAGGCTTGTGATATAGGAGTGAAGTAAGAAAAGGGAAAGTATAAAGTAAGATTTACTGCCTGGAATTTTCAGAGCTGTTATCTGTTACTTCAGACACCCAGCCTTGGACTGAAATCTCATTGTGCTGGCAGTCAATTCACAAATATTGGAAAAAAAAAGGCTACAACCTAAATGAAATGCAGTTAAAAAAGCCAATCAAACAAACAAACAGTGCCTGACTATATTTTGGTAACATCTAAACAAAGAATTGTTCTGCACGTGATTTTATTCACATTTATTTAGATCGCTGTAGTAATCTACAGGACCAAGGGAACACAAAGGAAAGGAGATAACCCCTCACACATAATTTCTATAAACTTAATATTAGGTTATATGATAAAGATTATCTTAATTTGATAGCAGTATTTTTGGTTTGGTATTAAAGGACATTCTGGATAGTAGAGATCTGCAGTCTCCTTGCTGGCAAGCAGCTGGAATCACAGCAATGATGCAATTTTTGTGTAGCTGTCAAACAAGGGACCCTCTCACTGTGTTAGCTGGATTCCTTCTTTGTTGTTATTGTTCTGATCCAATTAGTCACTGCTTTCAAGTTAAGGGATCCAACTGTCTGATTGGACTGAAAGAGACAGAAGAATAACAGAAACCCAAATGCGCTGTACAAGTGAGAGAATAGAATGTGTTTCTTTTTATGTGAAGTGCCTCAGTACATCAAGCACATGCTTTAACTAAACCTTAATTGCATCAAAACAGAAAGCAATCAAAAAGGGTCTGTTTTGATTCATTACATATCAGAAATGTGAGAGACAGATCTGAACTAATCCAGGAATCTGTCACTATGAGTAAGCTCCCCATGGAGCCTGTTTTAGTTGCCTTATACCACAAAAGATGGAGGAGACAGGTCTACAAACAACGAAGGCAGCTCATCTCTGCTATTTCCCCTTTATTCAGCACTGGTGAGGCCACATTTGAAGTGCTGGGTCCAGTTCTGGGCTCCTCAGTAAAAGAAAGACATGGACATACTGGAGAGAATCCAGCAAAGGGCCACTAAGATGCTGAAAGGACTGGAGCATCCCTCTGAGGAAAGGCTGAGAGAGCTGGGGCTGTTTAGTCTGAAAAGAGAAGGCTCAGGGGGACTTTATCAATGTATCTAAATACCTGAAGGGTGCATAGAGGATGGAGCCAGGCTCTTTCCAGTGGTACCCAGTGACAGGACCAGAGGGAATGGGTACAAACTGAAGTGCAGGAGGTTCCCTCTGAACATCAGGAAACACTTTTTCCCTGTGAGGGTGACCGAGCACTGGCACAGGTTGCCCAGGGAGGCTGTGGAGCTTCCCTTCTTGGAGATATTCAAAAGCTGCCTGGGCAAGGAGACAATTCACGGATTCAGAACTTCCCATTCGGATGCTGGTTAAGGTGCAAGAGAAGGGATGTCATATCGTGGTTTGACATAAGGCTCCTTACACTATGTTCAAATATCAAATGCGCCTTCAGAGACAAGGCTGGGGAACAGAAAAACAGGTTCTAAAATGCTGAGTTGTATAATACAGAGGTGCCCTTGACCTTCCTGATAACAGAACTGCTGACGACACACCAGCAACAGCAAAACTGCTTGTGCCCAACATAAAACAGCAGAAAACCCTTGCAAATGTATTCTAATATGTACGTGCCTTCAGGTCCCTTCCACTTCCTTGCAGCTGGTACAGCTAGAAAAATACTGACTTACAAAACATACTGAATTATGAAATATCATTGCCTACTTCGCTGAGTACTGGTACACACGTACTTCTATGTTAACTAAACCCCAGTTTATCCTTCTCTGTACTGGTTTATGGCTTAGTTCATCAAAGAAAAAAACCTACTTTTTAAATGCAGAAGTACAGTAGAAGTGAACTCCTGCAGGGTATGTCTACACTGCCCAATGCAGCTGAGATCCCCAGGCTGCTGCCAGCACAGGTATAGCTCAGACATCAGACCTGGCATATCCATGCTAAGGTAGAATATCAGGCAAGACATTTAGTCTGAACCAAGTAGTTGTACTGCTTCTCCTACCCGATCTAGCCTGTTGAACTGGCTTTGATGTCCATATACTGCACTGCACTGGAACTAGAGAATGAAGTATGTGTTTTATTAAACCTCAAAAGGAAAGCATGCTTTTTTGTTACATGAACAAGAACACTCTTTGATGTCTGAGTTAAAGAACTCTCTTACTAAGTAAATGATTTGAAGCTATCAAATGAGTGACCATGAGGATTAAGAGAATATTTACCATGCCAGATATTCAAGATGAATTTATGTTCAGTGCTGCTTCTTTATTATAATTTTGATTAGAAATTTGGATTTGATCTCTGCATTAAAAAAATCATATAAGTCTGGTGCTGCAAACTCCTGAATCATGCTTTATAACATGCTGGTAATTCTCAATTTCTGATGACATTATAGTCTAAACATACTGAACTTATACACTGATTTGAAAGAGTTGATATACCTCAACACTTTTGAGAATTTTGCCATTACCATCTCTCACCTCTTTTCTCAATAAAAACAGTTAGATGAAGGTGGAAAAGAAGTAATGCTACTGCAGACTTTCAGAACAGCTGTGAAAAGATGCCTATTTCAATTAATGATACATATTTACTACACATGGTACTACTGAAAAAAAAAACCCAAAACAGATACTCTTGCAATTCCAGTGTAAAGGGTATGTGTTACACAGCAATAGTTTGCCTTGTCTTCAGTTTAGAAATAGATTTAAATTAAACAGCACTTGTTCATAAACAGAAAACTATAGCCTTCTCATTAGCCAATCAGGGACATTGTGACTTGCCACATGGTACAATTAATTTCAATCTGAAATCTCTGTTTTAATTCATAATAACTTTCATTTCTTCATCTACATCCACAGGCTGTCACAAACATCAGTAGAAGGTGGACAACAAAAGCATCCCACCCCTTTCACATCCCTGTTCTTTCTATCTTCAATCCACTATGCTCAGGCAAGGATATATCACCATGCTACTCCCTTCTACAGTCAGCCCCTCAGCACCAAGCTTTAACTCTAGGTATTAAGAATACAAAGGAGTCAACCAGCCTTCCATCAGCTCATGACTTTCAGCTGCTCTTTTTTCTTGCTCTAGGATTAAGATTTGACAGCAATGTAGTAACATCCAGCAATACGCAATGCAAAATATTCTCTGTGTAAATAGTGCTTACTTTCTTCCTCCCTTGTTTCTCATTTTTCCTCTCTGTTTTTCACTTTGCTAGCTCACTGCCCCACTGAAGTTCTTTTTTTCCCCAGCTGATCATCTCTTTTCCTGCTCCACACTTCTTCTACACTCTCTTCCAAACCTTAAATCATTAAGAGACCAGAGCTGAGCCTTAAAAGCATGAAATTCAAATGGATCTGATACCCAGCATCTGGCCATAAAGAAAAGGCAGATGTTGTCTTGGATGTAAAAGCAAAGGGAAAAACATTGCTTCAGGTAAGACTGAACTCTTCAAACACTCTGTTCTTGTGTTTAAGCTACATGAAAAAGGTAATTTTGGGGAAAAGCTAATGTGCAAAATAAGAAAGAAAATGAAAGCTCAGTATCAGGCTTCTAATGAATTGCCTTCCAGTGAAACTCCTTCTCACAACTTTTACCACACTGTCTTCCTTACAAATATCCTTTTTAAAATGCCCTTCTACACATTTCTCAATGTCACAGCCTAAACCCCTCATTCCCAATACCTTCCTACATCCACACCTTTTTCATTGCACTTTCTTCATTCTCAGTATATCTTTAAGGGTTATGATCTAGTTGCTGTCTTGATGATGATCCAGTTGGAGGGCATTCAGACAACCAGTTTTGGGTTCAGAAGCAGCGCACACCATTAACATCGACAGCACATGCCCAAGTGATTTCTCTCAAATAGGGACTGTAGACCTGCGTCACTACTATGGTGATAATGAACAAACTTATTCAGAAATAATCTTTAGAATCCCTTTAGTATTTTCACAATTTTCAAGAGCGGAAAGTAAAACATTTTGAAACACCAACTAAACTGTGAGCAATCTACAGAGGATACTGTTCTTATTTTCCTGTAAAAATCACTGAACTCCGTTAACACATTTTCCCGTTCCTTGAAAAGGTGAGCTATTACATAAGCTTCATTATAAACTAGATGTAAAACCGAAGGGCCACATACTAACAGCATGTGTTTATCTCACAACACTCACCAAGTTCTCATTTGAACATGTGGCTTCTTCAGTACATCAGGCATCAGCATTTTTTACATTTATCAGGTTTATTGGAAAAAGCTGTTTTTGTCACAGATGATTCCAAGACACTTACCCAGTCGTGTAAGGTATATTTATTCCCCCTAGATTAATGCTTTCACATCCAACAATGAAGAGAGTTGAAAAGCACAGCAGAGATACACCACTGCAGATCATAGCCAACTTTGCAGACTCTCTCGCACCGAGTTTCAGTTTTTTTATAATGTAGCCGCCTAGGACAATACCAACACCAGCACTTGGGACAATAATCACACCTGCCAGGAAGAAATTCAAGCAACATTAAAACAGGACCTATTGAAATGGTATAAAACATAAATATTGGTTTCATTCCCTAATTAGATGACTGCAAATGCTGCACTAAGATCTCCATTGTCTGATTCTCTGCTAGCAAACTGAGTCAGAATTTTCAAACCTCTGGAGTGTTGTCAAAGAATTAATAAAAGCCTCCTTATGATATTACCAGCAGCCAAAGCACTATGAGAGAACTATTGTACTTACAAGCAGAAACATTGCTTTGTATTTATTTTAGAATGGGGAGAAGCCCTACATATTGCTCCAGTTTAACTACTGAAAATTTGAAGAAACCCAGATTTGGACATCAATCTTCCTCTTCGTACTCTCATGATTAATTCCAGTGAAGCACAAATGCTAACCTCAGGCAGCACCCCAGAAGCCTGCCCACCTGGGAGTGCACGCAGGAGCCTGGCTGCAAATTCTGCCTTCTAGATACTTTCCTCAAGCTGAGTGAGTTTCCTACAGCCTGATTCATCTCAGCACAGCCACGTGCAGTGTAAACTGATCAAGCATGATTAAAGAAATTAAGATATTAGCAATAGTATTAGGGTAAGTTTAAGACACAAAAGACATGCCTATGAAATTTCTGTTGGGCTGCTGCTGCAGTTATAAGGTGGCAGCTGAGCAACACATTGCCGGGCTGTCCTTGCTTGTCAGGCTGTGAGGTGGTGTTAAGTCAGCAAATGTCTTGCAATTCTTCTCTTTCCTTGGCTTCTGCTCTCACTGGCATGTGAGGTCTTTAAATTAGGTCTTTGCTAATAAAGATGCATTCCACATAAATATGGAATTTGAACAACTTCTGGCAGCTGCATCTATGGAGAAGGAGCTAAACTTATAATCCAAGTTCTTGAAGATGATGGGTCTTTCTTTTTAAAGAAGCCAGTAAAACTATCACTTGCAAATTTCTTTAGTATTATTGCAAAGCATTCTCATTCTCTACTCATCTGTCTAAAGGTGAAGGGGACATTATATTTATCAAAATTTTGAGATCGTGAAAGTAAAAGGAAGAGCTAAAAGTAGTTGCTGCCTTAATTATTCTGCTATCACCAATAGCATTATAAAGTAAGATGTCGTTTCATGAATAAGACTCTTAATAATAACCCTTGACAGAATAAAAATCACTCTTTCTTGTAAGAGCAGAAATTAAATGTATAAATCTTTCTAGCAGAATTAAATGATTTTCACAAAGTTCAAAGCTGTTATCTCTCTCGAGCTGTTATATCTCTCATTTCAATGACTGAATATGAACGAGGGAAAGAAATAATGCAAATCCTTTCACTTGCACTGAAAATGTTCTCTCTGGGTGAAAACAGTAACTCAGCCATCTGAGTCTACCAGGCATGCCCTGCTCTACAAAATCTGTGTCAGAGAAGCCAACATCCACACCAAAGGCACACTGGGATCACTCACAATGCCTCTTCAAACACCTTTGTCAGGTGAAGCAAATTCCATGGACCAAATCTGTGGCTACAACAGTTATATGAACTAAGGATCTAGCCCAAGGTAAGGGATTACTGACAATATATTAACCTCAATATTTTATTATTCCTTCCACCCACCTTACAGCTTAGCTTTGAATTCTTAACCTCTTTCGGACCTGAATTTACCTTTTCTTTCCTATTCTCTTGAGAGCACAGATATTGGAAAAGCCTTTCTCTAGAACTGAGACTCTGTGTGTCTGTGTGTTACCTTGTCAAACTGAGCATGTGAACATTTTGCAAGGTATTAGGTTAGTGGTCCTTCCATTAGTGAGTTATACTGCACTGCTGTTTTCATCCATCCTCTACCACACCATGAAGATCAGAACATTAAAAATAAGGAGAACAAACTGAGAAAATTGCCTGCAAAGGCTCGCTCTCATTCAGGAGGATGGAAAGGTAAAGGAAAGCCTACACAGAAGAAATATAAAGACCAATTCTTCCATGCAAAGTGGATCTGGAGATGGAAAAGCTTCCTTTCTGGGAGAAACTGGAAGGGCAGAAACAGATTTTTCTGTTTGTGGTGAAGGCACCAGAGAGAAGCTTCATTCCCTCCTATGTATCAGGAAGCCCAGACAGGTTCTTTTCCCTTAAGTACAAACTGTTCATCTTAATGCCCCTCTCCTTCCACAGGGGCTGTGAAATCAGAAGTGATGTCCTGTCAAAGAAACGCAGCCACTACAGTACACTTCCAGATGAGCTTCCAGGGTAAAGCAAAGCCTGTACATCCAATCAGGACATGCATTCTTCTTTTTCAAAGGCATTTAGAGGAATAAAGCTTAAAATCTGATACTAAGCTGTTGTACTGCACTCTCATTCATTTTACAATGACAGTTTGGCTTATAGGAATTGTGCATGGGCTAAATACACTCCTGGGTACAGTGCTCTGAGGCAATATTGGCTTTCAGTCAGCAATTTCCAAGATTTGTCCTTTTTGCTGTTGTCAGGATGCTGTGGCACTTGAGCCTTTCCAGAGCAGCAAAAGATGATCTTAACAGCTACTAATAGCCTGGGAACAGAAAACTGCAGTATCTGCTAAGCAGGCTACACTTCCAAAGGGAATACCATGGAGATTTTCAAATCAATTCTGTCTGGGATACGTATTATACCTTTTCTAAAACTAAAAGTAGATCCAATGTGTTTGCAACCATTTTAGCAGAAGTTACCAGAACAGTGCTTTATAATATATAGTGTGCAGATCTTCCAATTACACATCATTTAAATTGCAACTCTTTTTTGCAAGTAAATCTGCTAGCAAAGCACCTGAAATTCTAACCTGGATTTGTCTAAGATCTACCAGTTACCTAAAGTTCTTTTGTGTTTTTTTTTTTTCTGGACTTGAGACCTGGAGTCTAAATGACACCTGCTCTACAAATGGAAAACAAAAATCCAAGTAAGGCAAGACTGCAGCACAAGTTGCACATATCCAAGACATGAAGTTTGGCACATAGCATTTTTGCTGATGATTAATAACAGGATTGTTTAAAAACATAAAGAAATTAAAGAATTGATGCTTATTAATTGAGACAGAAAATGACCAATAAAAACTTTACATCGGTCACACAAAGAGATTCAGCAAGCACATGTATTCAGCTGGCAATGTACATATGAAGTACAGATGTAGTAATATAAATAGCATGTAAGTCCTCCTTTTGCTAACCAGAATTTTGTAAACTAGATTAGCCAGTAGCAACCTAACACAGAATCTCCAGGTTTCCTTTTCTCATTTTTCCCACGAAATTAATTTATAAAATTAGTAACTACTGTTGACTTTAATGCTAAGTGTAGGAGTTGGGGTTGTGGAAGCAGTGCTCACTTGTCCATGTTCCACATCCAGCCTGAGCTATTTCATCAGCTTCTTCTGGTTCATTATAATAGTCTTTATCAAGTAATTTATAACAGGAAAACAATAGATGTTAATAGCTTCACACTCTGGACAGGGTCACGTAATTTTTTCTTTTTTTTTAATGTATTGGCTGTTGAATATTTTGTCTGGCAATAATGTTTCTGGTTTATCCTGAAAATGAAGCAGGTTACAGAGTAGCAATCCCATCAAGACTCACTACAGTAAGCTCCCCTGCGTGTGTAGCTACCCTAAGTTTCAGATAGAATCATGGTCCCATCAATCAATGTTTCCTTCGTATATACAGAACACAGGGATTTCATGCCCTAAAGAAAATCTCATCCCAGCAAGCTCTCAAAAAGAAGTCACCACACGGTGCTTCTCTGAAGTTTCCCCTCCAAACTCTAGACTCCTCGTGTTCCTTCCAGTCACTGCAGGTGACAAATTATTTGCATGTGTGGTCTCTGTGTCTTCTGTATTTTTTCTGATACTTTTTGTCTTTTCCTTAACTGATGCCCCTGGGCAGCTTCACCCCCATACTTCTTCCCCGTTCCCACAACTCGCTCCCCACTCTGTCACTCCTTCTCAGGCACAGTATCTGGAAGTACAGGGCACAAAGAACTAACCTGCCTAGCAATTAGCATCTATTCTACACAAGAAACACCATGGAGAAGTCAAAAAGATGCTTATAAAGACAAGTGTCTTTGATGAGAGAAGGGAGATGATCTGCATGACATGGGCCCCAATTCTGCACAACATTTTGGCCCCTTTCCCCAGGGAAGTTCCCATCTCTCCCTTCCACAGAGCAGTAAGAAGCTTAAAATTTTGTGGTTTATAGCTCTGTTGGAAGTTGCACTTGGCTGTATGTTGCTGCGGCAGCGGGGGCGGTGATATACATGCAAAAGAGGGGTCTCAGGCCTGAAATGACAGGTGGGAGAGGATTTGGGGAGCTTTCCTGTCTAGACTAGATCATTGTGCACTCTGTTAATAAGTAAATAATGAGAAAACCACCAGCCTGAAGGGGAGAGATAACTGAAGGATGGGACAGATAAACAACTCGTCACTGGGGAAAAAAGAAAGATTACGATATTTTAAAGATCAAAGAGGAAATAAAATTCACAGAAAATAAGAACAACTTCAAAAGATCTTTTAAGGCACACAAATCGCAGTAATGCCTATGGGTTTCCTAACTTGGTTTTGTTGCTTTTTTTTCCCCCTTGCAGACCATTAACCTACTAGAAAATGTCTGTCTAGGTTATGTAAAAAACCCCAGCCCTTTAATAATATAAATGGGTTCATATTTCACCAAACACATATAGCAAACATCAAAAAATGACCTGAATATCTAACCAAATGCCTAAATCTGGATCCAATCATCTGTTCTAGCAGGCACATTTTTGGTTCATTTCTACATTGATTCATTTCATTAGTCAAAGAACGCCAAGCCTTGCACAGTTACGCTACGTGGCAATGCCTTACCAGTGTAGATGCTGGCATTGGAAGCTGGGATGCCAAACTGTGACTCGATGAACTTGGGAATGAAGGTAATAAAAGCTGTGACAATGGCACTCTCAGCTGTGTATGACAAACTCACAAAAAGGAATGTCATGTTGCTTAAGATCCTGACAGCTGCTCTTGGAAGCTCTATAAAATGACAAAAATGACAAACGAATGTTATAAATAATGAGCGAGAAACAAAAGCAAACTGAAGCAAAACAAATTTATTTTCTTTGAGATGGACTGGCAATAATGGCTTGCTAGCATCTGGCTACATTTGCTAAGCGGAAGGGAGAGTGCATATTTGGGATTGCAGTCTTCCCTGTCTGCTCTGACCCTATCTCACTGCATCGCCCTGGGGGTGCAGTCCCACTTTTCACAAACACAACTGAGGTCTGTTCTAACAAAACCATCTGAAGAAACAGGGTCTACACAGTAACACTATAAAGGAAAGAAAAACAGCAATAAAATGTAGTGACTTTGGAATTATTCTGATGTTATATTTTGAAACTTTCTATGAGACAACACGTAGCACACTGTTGAACCGACTACTAAGTCTTGCACTCCACAGGAGGAAAAGACCATACACTCCCCCTGTAATTCTCTGCTTCAAGGACCACACTTGGCAAGATGGGATAATACTACTAATTTTAAAAGAGAACCAAAAGATTTTTAATTAAACATTTTTCTACATGATTTAAAAGTACTTATAATAGATGCAGCCAAAGCATACTGAAAAAATTATGTCAATGATATCAATGAATCTCAACATACCTTAGATACAACTCATTTAATATTCTCAGAAGGGATAAAACAATCAATTAAAAATGAGAGCACATCATTAACTTAAATTGAAAAACCATTCATAGGTATTGCAATTATCCACAAATCAAGTATCAAAACCCCATGAAATTCAACACTGTATTTAAAAGAAACACTCAAATACTTTTAATTCAGACGTGCAGTGATGTCACATTATCATCACAAAATGATAATAACTCTATTCAAGACAATTTTTTCAGATTAGATGGCATGATTTTAAACATGGTTTTTCTTCCTTGGGGCTTCTACTGAGATCTGATTTTCTGCTCAAGTATTATATCTAGCCTACTATGGTGTGGGTTTTTTCATTTGCTTTTCACTTCATACAGAAATTGAACGCTGCTTGAATCAAAGCCCATTGAATTCAATGACAAGAGCGCCCATTAGAAATACAACGTGTTGAGTAAGAACTCCTGAGTGCGAATTTTATTGATGTTAAAAGTTGTCAAGTCAAAAATCTGTCTCACTTTCTCCATTGATTTCAGTAGGTTATCTGTATAAAAGCAAACAGAATTTAGACTTGTCATGTCAAAACTTGTCAGGCTGCAAATTAGCACCTAAATTGTCTGACTGCATCCAGTCTTAGCCTATGCCAATCATCAAAATTTATACTGAATTCATTATGAGTACAGGTTTTATAATTTTAATGTAGTCAAATGCTTTCTTGCTGCCTCTGAAGAAATGTATTAAATGTTAAATATGAAATTTGGTGGAAATAAGCAATGAATAAATCATATTAAGAAGCACTCATCTATTTGAATCTTAATGTTTTTTATCACCTACAGCTTTTTTTTTGTTGTTTAATGTGGCACTGTTTGCAACAGAGGAACAGAAAGAAACAAGATAATAGGAGTATGAGACCATTTAATACCAACACGAATATATGGAAACCATAATGTGAGTGTACAAACTTCAGAACCTAATGAACATTTTGCTCTGGTGTTCGGATACAGAGCTGTACTTTCTGTTGACTGCTACTTGCATCTCATCCAAGCGCTCAGTCTGAAGGTCATTATTGATTTCAAAACTAATTAGTATTTTGAAATTGGATTTCTACTGATAAATAGATAAAACTCAAGTGTCTTGGGATAACAACAAGTTCTCTTACACCCATGTAAAGGATTCTTCAGGGAACAGCTCTGATGATTACTATAATTTTTGGCATGAAATACAACAGAGATTATTCCTGCATGTTGCACTAATACATACCACCTGGAGCCGTTGAGGGTTGAAGCTCTTTGTGATTTATAAAAAGTAACTGTCTGGCATACAAGGAAAATTTGCTATATAGTACGAAATTTGCAAATAAAAATACATATTCAGAATTAGGTTTTCCCCGAATTCCTCTTATGATAATAGTCAAATCCTGTGTGACAGAATCTGTATTACACTTCTGAATTTTAAAACCTGTAATAAAAAGGCACTATAAGTACCTCATATCTTTCAACCACACTAATTCTAGTAAAAAGCAAGAATGCTAAACACTTTAAGGATCCTTTGTACTGTGTAATCAATCATGCATTTAAAACATTTCAATGTCATTATTTTTGTGTGACTAGCCATAGGCCTAGGCTTTGATTTCAAGGTCATTATTAAACCTGTCAGGTTCTGAATTTTAGGTCTTCAAAAAGCATTTATTGTTTTTGCAAGCGTGCATCAGAAACAAACCTATGAAAACTTGCATCTTCCCTCATTCTGTCATTTGAACAAATAAATATCAATCACATTCCTAAAACTGTAATGATCTTTTAGTATGGTCACAAACGTGTTTACACTTCTGTGCAGTAATTCAAATCTTAAACAACCTTAGCTTCTTTTTTTTTATTTATTTTTTTTATTTTTTAATAAACTAATATGTAACGAAGAGTAAACTGAAATCTGCCTTGCCAGACTGGTGTATTAGTCTACTGTAAATTTTCTTCCCTTCATGGTCTTTGATAATATTTTTTCCCTATTCAGTATTTTTCTTTCACTTGTGTGCTGGACCACTGCTTGATTCATGGTAAGGGAAAAGCATAGGAAAAATCCACAAGCAATACAAATATTTGCAAATACTGCTCTAAGCAAACCTCTTAAAGTACTGAAAACAGAATTTCAATAAAAACCCAAATAATTCTGATTTCACCTCCTTCTTCCTCATTTAATACATTTTCTTTTATCTCTGTTCCTGTCCATCTAGCCCAAGGGGAACCAGGGGAATAAACCATCCCAGTCTACAGCACTGTCCTCTTGTATTCCATCAGCGAAGCCCCTTGCAAGAGTGACGTAGATATTAGCTGAAGCACCTCCCTTCTGCTGGCGCTCCAAGCCTGGACAGCTCTACCCAAGTCTGTAATTTGAAGGAGGTAGCCTCCACACCAAGGTCTCAGGGGCAGCTTCTGCTCTCACGCAGTATAAGGAAGAGCCACAATTTGAGACAGAATTTCTGGTTTGTTTATCAGAATGGAAATGAGCGTTTTCAGTCACACACAACTACTTCAAATATATCTTGCACGGAACTACTCACTAAGTTCTAGAATAATATTTTGCCATGTATTTCATTTCATTATCTACTCACATACCATTTAAACAACCTCATTCAACTCGATTCCTCAAGCATTTTCAGGATATGCCTTAAGTACCTGGGTGGCAGCCAGATTGCTGAACAGCCCCTAATGTCCCATCAAGAGCAGGGAGGTTCAGAGGGAGTTTGATCTGATTATTACCTTTGTTAACTTCATTTAGATCAGCTCCTCGAGGCTCCAGCTAACAGTGCTCATCACTGCACGGGGCCATGCCAACCTCTTCTATTTTGAGTTCTCCAAGATGCCCTAAGAAAGGGCAAGGAGGGAGAGACTCGCTCAAGGTCAGTGGCACAGCCGGATCTCCAGCCCACAGTCTGCTGAACTCTGACATTTATAGTGCTCACCAAGCACCCCCACACACACACCACTGTCTCCTCTTCCTCCTCCCATCCCTGCCAACTAATCTTTGGGTACTGCAGAAACTCCAACCCAGATCCTTGGGGAAGCACTGCAGTGGGCTTATGCTACAGCCACAAGCTCCTCAGAAGCTTCTTTTACCTTTGCTGATACCCTGACAAGCGTTATTATCCTGTCCCCATCCCCGGCAGGGACTGACTGGGAAGAGCATATGACAGCTGATAGACGTGAAAAGGCAGACAGGAATATTCCACATTTAATAAAGGGCTGTACATAGGGATAAAACTCAAAACGTTAACAAAAAAAAAAAAAACAAAAACAAAAACAAAAGACTACAAAATATGTGTAATTAATTAGCACCCTTCAGATCAGATCAGTGCATTTTAGGTATTACATACATTTGCTTTCTTTACACTGCTCCTTTATTCAATTGCACAGTAAGTTTCATTATAGTGGTAAGTAGAAAGGACTGCAGATATAATTTCGATGGTACAAAACCCTAAGGGTATCTACTTAATAAATGAAAACAGCAGTTTTGTCTGCTTGGGTTCACGATTTATCTGCATGTATGCCTTCTTCATTATAAATCTCCTCTAGCTCATGTTATCTACACTACCTCTATTTCTCCCAATTAACTACATCCAATTTTCTTCCTCCTGTGACCTATTTAATGTTTTATTTAATACTTTTGATACCAGCCTCAGAAGCATTCTCCCTCTCACTTTTTTACTTTCAACACAAATAAGACTGAATTCCAAGCCCTCACATCTCAAAACATGAGAAAAAGCAAAGATATATCTGTAATTTTATCCGATCTCAGCTCTACAGTGGGCCAAAATAAAGCTCAGGTCACTGAAGTTGGGAGGCTACTCGCAGATCAAGCCAGTTTTGGTTTATTTCTTCAGCCTATACTAGCAGCCACTGCAGGAAAAAAGACCCCAGCCCACTCCCACCATGTCTTTTTGATTTCTTTTCATTCATCTAGTAACTTACATGAACTTAGGACAAGTTACAGCAGGACAAGAATCATTTTGCCTGGATTCCCAGGTAAGACGACATCATACCAGAGTAACAAAACAGTTTCTTTCCGGAGACTTACTTTATCAAAGTTGCATGGATTTCACAGATTTAATGGCACTGACCTCTGTCATTGCAGACTACGACATCACTTGTATTTACCAGTACAGAGCAGAAGATGTGACCTACTAAATCATCAGTCTCGTGGCTGCTGCCTAAGTGGAGCTTCTGCCCATGGTGCTATAAAAAGATGAAGCCCTGAAATTCAATGTGGAAGTATAAAATGTACATTGCATCTGAGAAGAAGCAATGCTGAATGACTTAGACACATGCGATCCTTTTTTCCTTCCCATTATAAACGAAATTACATCAACTGAGAAGTTTGAAGAATGATCTCATTCCATAAAGCCCACTTAAACTTGAAAAATAATTAGATAGTACATTCCTGCTGCAGGCCCTCTTACCCTCCAAGGGTAAATGACACCTAATGGGAAAGCTATTATCAGCTTAGAGCAAAATACTTCTCTCTGCGTTATCCTGACTTGCTTGGTATCTCTCTGACATGTGGAATACAATGCTGCTTCTCACTGTTACACATGGTGAAGTTTCTCCTCTAGAGAAAATGAGAAGTTTTGTATATGAAAAGCTCTAATTTGGTAGCTCTGTTAATATACTAATATAGGGGTTTGTAGATGGCATGGTACACATTTAGGCAGATATGTATCAAAGTAACGCATGTTAAAATGAGATATACATAAGTTTCCATTTCTGTGAAAAATAGCACTAGGAAACATTCTCCTAAGAGATTGCTTGTTTTCTGTGTATCTTCTATGCCTGTAGTGACACAACAAGACCTGAAGCGTCTTCAAAGAAGGAAGCAGACAACATGCTTTTCTTGCTTCTCCATTGGTTTTTTAGCTACTTTGCAAAGGGAAAACATGGTTCTGAAAGATCTGAAATTGCAGCGTTACCTTGTTTGCTCTGTGCCTTGATTAAGATGCTGTTTTGTAAGCTAATAAAATCACCATAAGCAAATTCTGGTCTCCTGTTTTTACTTTACATCCATAGAAATTAACAGTAACTTTAGGTACCCTGAGAGTACAGATGTAAATGCAATGTAGAGCAAATCAGTATGCATGTGGGCAAACATTACTTAGAATTACACTGGTTTTAGTCTAAAACCAGCACACTGGTTTTGCTAAGCCTTGACTCCTCAATGTAAAGAGTGATCATAAATGTGTCATTTAAAAATCTGCCAATCATTATATCCTGGACTGATATCCAATTAAAAAGTAACATTAATGTTCCTGTCAACAAACAAACACTTGAAGTTTTTAGTTCAAATTACATTTAATGGCACAAATGACATTTCATGGTTTCTCCTAGTCCCATTGCTTTCATCAGGCTACCACAAAACAGCACAACCAGCATTCACATTGTGGAATCCAAGCAGGACATAACAGCAGTGACAAGAAAACAGCATTAAGGCATGTCCATTCTTGTCCTATACTATTCAATATTATGTCACAGTTAAGTGTATACTGTCGACTCCAAATGTATATGCTTCACATAAATCAATTTTTAACAACACTGCCCTTCTTCCCATGGCATTTTATCAATGATTACTCTTACTGTTAAATTTCACATTAATGGTTTACTTCTTGAATAAAATAAAAATCTCTACCACTTGTCAATCTTTTGATCTCTTTTTGTTTCAAAATCACCGCAGGATTCATTTGTCCTAGCCTTATAAATAGTTTGCAGTACAAAATAGTCAGGAAAGGCATATGAAACAAATAACCTTTCTTAATTAATTTACACAAATGCATTAATGTAATCGAACTAACCAACTAGAATTCTTTTTATTTGTTTCACTTATATTTTGGAACAGCACTTTATTCCATGAAGGACAGCTTAAAGCAAGTATGACATCTATAAACTGTAAGCTATATACATACGTTTGTTAATAGAGGTCCTATAACCATAGGAAATAAGCTACCTGTTTTTTGCAGGTGCACATTAAACACTTCAGTAATTTAAGTAAATGGATGTCTTACACGCATCACTGCATTTTGTAACTTTAGGGGATAACCATCTATTAAAATCTCAATAGCAAACATAGTATTAAATACAGGATGTCACAACTCTGCCTTCAATTACACTCATACAATCCTAGATGAGCCCATGTACAAAATTTCAAGCATTTAAAAATTAAAAACAAACTTCACCTTTAACATTCTTTCCAAATCCCATAGAGGCAGGAACTGCACTGTCTGCTTGTATTTTGCTATTTGTTTTCTCTTTCATCACTTCATCATCACTTGAAACATCATCGGAGTTCATCTTCTTTTTCTTTTTCTTTTTTTTATGTCGAGGAGGGAGCTTTTTCGGAAAGGTAAACATGGGAAATATCACAAGGAGCATTGCAATGGCACAAAGGAGAAATCCACTCCACCTAATGCCAGGAGACAGGAACAGAAATGAAAGCCAACGCATTACATGAAATAAAAAAACCAAAGTGATTATTACAGGCTGTACTGGCTGGACAGACATATTTGCAGAATATGGAACACTGACATTAAGAGTAAAGGATTGGAGTGGGCGAGAGCCTTCCGTGCACTAAAATCCTTAATTAGAAGATGTTTCTGTTGGCTTGTCTACTGATAAATTACCCAGAACTCAACAAATATTATAAAGTAACGTCAGCTTTGAGTTCCCATAATTTTTCACTTTTCGTAATTATTCAGTACCAAGTGCTGAGATACTCACTTCTACTTTGCCTTTCATGGATAATTCCCAGTAAAGCAATACAGCTTTCCCGCGGAGAACATGCAAAAAGTTACCCATGGCACGAGAAGATAAAATGTCCAGATGGATACATCAGAGCTAAATCTGTTCTGTCTTCCAGTGCCTACCTCTTACTGCCCTGACTGTCCAATTCCCTCCCTTCCCAACGAAGAGTTCCAAAATCCTGATTGCAAACAACTGAGGTCTTCATGCCAGGGTTTATGCCTAAAACTCTGCAGCTCTGTTCTGTGATCGCAACCTGAAATATCCCTTCACAAAGAATTCTCTCTTCTCTCCCTCTGTCTTGTAAGAATGGGATATAAACAACCCTGCAATGATCCTTTGCCTCCATGGAATGACTTGGGACGTACCCACGCAAGGGACAACGTATGGGATGTCTGAAAAGTGCCCTTCAGACTGCAGGCATACAGTTATCCTCCCTGAGGCCAAGAAGTTTAATGAACTTTACCACAGCAACACAGATGGGCAAAAGGGCCTTACTTTGAAAGTATTCTAGAGTTTACTTTCCATAGTCAGAAGGCTGATAGCTGAGTATCATAATTTCTCCTCTAAGTTCATCTTGCAGTGAAAGACTACAGGGAAATGTGAATAAACTCATTCTGATGCTTCCATAAAGAAGGATGACCTCAAAATTCACAAAGAAGGATGACCTCCGAATTCACAAACAGACTTCTTCCCATGTACTGAAAGTGAAATTCTCACTATGAACTAATTGTGTACACTAATCTAATCGTACTGGGTTTACGTGACAAGGTTTTGGCAGCAAGGTGGGGGTTGCAGGGGTGCTTCTGTGAGATGACACCACGAGCTGCCCCCATGCAGGACAGAGCCAGCTCCAGACAGCTCCAAACCAGATCCACCACGGCCCAAAGCTGAGCCCGTCAGCAACGCTGACAGCACCTCTGCGGTAACTTACTTAAGAAAGGGTAAAAAACGCTGCACAGCAGCTGCGTGAGGGGAGGGAGGAAACGTGAGAGAAACAGCCCCGCCGACACCAAGGTGAGAGGAGAAGGAAGGGGAGGAGGAGCTCCAGGTGCTGGAGGAGAAAGTCCTCTGCAGGCCCCGGATAAGACCATGGTAACGCAGGTTGTCCCGCTGCAGCCCACGGAGGTCCATGGTGGAGCAGATATCCACCTGTGGAGAACCCACACTGGAGCAGGCTCCTGGCAGGAACTGTGGCCTGTGGAGAGAAGCCCACACAGGAGCAGGTTTTCTGGCAGGACCTGTGACCCATGGGGGGACCCACGCTGGAGCAGTCTGTTCCTGAAAGACGGCACCCTGGGGAAAGGATCCATGCTGGAGCAGTTAATGAAAGACTGTCTCTCATGGGAGGGACCCCGCGCTGAAGCAGAGGAACAGTGTGAGGAAGAAGGAGCATCAGAGACAAAGCGTATTGAACTGACTACAAGCCCTGTTCCCTGTCCCCCTGCACCATGGGAGGGAGGAGGTAAAACAGTCAGGAGTGAAGTTGAGCCTTGGAAGAAGGGAGGGGTGGGCAGAAAGAGTTTGTAGTTTTGGTTTTAATTCTTACTATCCTACCCTGTTAATAACTGGCAATAAATTAAATTAATTTCCCTAAGTCATCTGTTTTGCCCATAATGGTAATTGGTGAGCGTTCTCCCCGTCCTTATCAAAACCCACAAGCTTTTCATCATATTTCCTCCCCCAGTCCAGCTGAGGGGGGGCAGTGAGAGAGCAGCTGGGTGGGCACCTGGCAGCCAGCCTAGGCCAACCCACCACACTGACCTACACCAGCTTTTGGAAGTTTCAGTAAAATCCATCACGTTACTGCAATATCAAACCATGGCAATGAAAGACTGAAGCTCTTTGCTTTCAAATCACAGTTTATAGAACCATTTTTACAGTTTTTGTACATCCTTTCCACTTAAAAAAGGAAGCTACAGCAGGAAGCTACTAATCATATATTTGTTCCAACTTTAAATATTTAAGAGTACTGAGTAGACAGGATTACTTGCACAAGAAACAAAAACATCTGGCCTCATATTTGTAATGCAAAGGTATTGCAAATTGAATTTTTAAATTAAGACAAATTCATATGCATGTATAGAAGTTTGTGTGATAAATGGTTACACAAAGGCAAACACCAAACAAAAAGCCATATGTAACCTCATTTTTGTTAGAAAGATTATGTGAGAAGCTTTTGTGAGGCAAATCTAAGTGACTGAAAGTTTTGACTAGTTTTAATATTATGTAAACAGAAAATCCTCTATTCATTCATTTTAGCTGATAACATACCTGGATTAGAAACCAGACTTTTAGGAGGATTAGTCAGCACTATCAAACAGGGAATAAATTGGTAGGCTGTATAAAAATGTAGTAACATCCCTTTCAGGATCTCAAAGGCAGAAGCTGAAAAGGCACTGATCAAAGAAATGATCTGTGGTAATAATAGACAGAAATCTGAAACCACCCACTCAGTGGGAAACAGCAAAGAAGACAAGGACTGTGATATAGCACGAGATGAAATTCAAATCCAAAGGGACCATTATGGCAGCATACTGAGTGCCGGAGATGTCACAAATGCAGCACTGGATGCAATTATCTGCAACGTCTACACTTTACATCTTCCTGGAGAAATATCAAAGAACTGGAAAACAGACAAAAGATGGTATCAAAAATAATAAAGACACCTACAATGGGAAATGAGAGGTCGGAACAGGATCTGTATTAATTAAAAAGCCCTTGATTTTCTGCCTTCTAAAGTCAAGGAAAATATGCAAGAGAATACCTTAAAGGCATATCCACAAACCAGAGGACCTCAAATAAAAGCAATTAAAGCTAAGGAAGGACCAGACGGTGCTGGAGGAATTTCTTTAAACTTCCTATGTGGAATGTCAGTGAAAGACTATATGGGAAGGTCCAAGTATTAAACAGATTCATAACTAGGCAAACACTCAGAAAAATGTCAGCAAAAGAAAATTTTATTCAAAGCACCTGACAGACCGCCAAGGGCTACTCCACAACTAATGAGATCCCTATATAGCACATTAACATTTCTCAAAGACAACAACATGATGGATGATTTCTAACAGATATCCCTACAGTTACCACATTTGAATAAAAAGCAGTTTTAATCATTTGATGGGCTCGCATAGACAGTGGGCCTGTAATTTAGCCCAGAGCACCTACAGAAAGCTCAGGTGTGCAAAACCCAGGAGACAAACCCAAGTTCTGTGAAACTCAAGGAAGAATCAGATCAGAAATAACCCCAAGAAACAACCACTTACTTTGTTTATCAGGTTTCACAAGAGGCAAACCAAGTTACCCATCCTGCATCTATGCAATATACCTCTTAGAAAATAACAGCTTAAGTAAAAAAATAGGCTTTAGTGCAATTTTTGTTGCCATGTATCATAGTTGTTGTACTCACTATTTTGTCTGTAATCACTACCTCCTTTAATAATGGAATTTGTTCACAGGGTCCCTGCGAAAAGTTGAATTAGAAACCTTACAGCTATAATAAAGGAAAGATGGGAATCAAAGACACTAATTCACTTCAAAGGAGACAAGGCTGAGAAAACTCATATATGATTGCCCATTAACTTATCTCAACTGCACCCTACTTTTAAAAAGCATGTCAGCTGAAGTAAGTGCTAGGCTACTCTTATATTTCACATTGTTAGATTATATAAATAAAAATAAACTTGGCTATGCAGCACTTCCCTGCAAGGAGAAAATGTCACGGTCCCAGAAAATAGATTTCATTGGAATGAAAGTCTACACTTCCAGAGCTCTCTGCAACTGGGCAGTCAGTGAGCAGCAAGGGACAAAGGACCAATCCTCAGACCACGAGTCTTCATTTTAATGGATAGAAAAAGCTTCAGAAAGAGAAAAGAGAATGAGCCACAAATGCTATGAACACCACCAAACTTTTCTGAGAGGTCACACAGACTGGGAATCAAATTACCAGAGACCAGATAGCAGGGTATTTTTCTCTCTAGAAATTAAAGAGAGAAAAGATCGAGAGCCAAAAATTAAAGAGTAGTACAAGGACCTAGAACACCCTTCAGGGAAAGCCTCTACAGATTTAATCAACATGATGGAAAAAGGAAACTTTGAATGCCTTTTACTTCTCTTTTTTGGCTAGAATACGACTCGCCTCATGAGATCCTATGACAGCTGATTTCTTGACCTTGGCTTCAATCATATTTGCATCACCTCTGCTGGCATCCCTGTGCAAAGTGGAAATCACCAAGACACTCGTTCAGGTGACATTAAACCTTGGAGAGACATAAAATCTATTTACCAATTTGACATAAGATCTTCTGAATGCACAAAGTAGGCTCTTTTCCCTGTCTTACTTGCAAGGTCTGTACAGTAGATGTTCTTAAAGTCTCCCCGCAGAAATGGTTGAAAGAGGTGACTTATCACCACTTTTGCCATGGTGCCCAGTGCTTACAGCATTCCCCTGGCAGCAGACATCAATCCTTGCCGCTCACTCTTTTGAGGGAGGGTAGTTAAACTTGCAATTCATGAGCAAGGACAGCCATTTTTTTGCCGGATCTCTCTCACACATTTGGCTATGGCAACATTTCACGTATATTCAAGCTGGCTTTAAAGGTAGTGGCCATCCGTCTGCTGTGGCACAGTGCCTGGTGCAAACAGCCCAAGAAGTGGCAAACAGATATGTCCATGCTGCTTTAGTTATTTTATCTTCACCAGAGCTATTTAAGTCAAAACTCACACAGGTATGCCCACATGATAAGGCAGTTTTATCAGTGATTGCATTATAGATAAAGTCAAAAGCTTATCCCACGTTCGCACAGCCCCACTGATTTCAATTAACAAATATGTTTATGGGCCTGTTCACCATTTCTGTTAAAAACTACTGATCAGATGATGATTACCAGTTCTGACATGTCCTTAAAAACACATGAAACCTAAGAGTTTTATGAATAATGTATAATATTTTGCTTTGATTTCAAATCTTTTATTCAAGGATAGTCAAAGCAATTTTTTGACGCTACAGCACATTCACAGAACAAATCTTTTCTGTGGGAGAAGTCAGTATATATGTGAGAGCACAGAGTCGTTAAGTTCAAGGTCACAGGTTAACTGAGCACTCAGGTTTCCCTATCTCTCACTGAAAATTCAGCTAGACAGTCCTGTACAGCAGTGCTCTTGGACTAAGTAAGATAAATAAAGCACAACTAAATCTTCAAAACTTTAAAGAACACTCCAAAGAGAGAATTTTTCACATCAAACTGTCAGGAGAGATCACTGCAGGATAAATAAAAACAGATACAGTCTGACTGTGATGGCACAATGACAAACACTAAAACTGTACACAAGAACTGACATTACACCCTACACCTACAAAATAGAGATCTCCCGGGATGACGAACTTAAGCCTTTTCTAGGTTTGAATGACAACTTCAAGGCAGATTTATGAATTATCTGAGAAAAGCCAGTTAAAGCCTCCTCAAGATCTGCTTCCTCAAAAAGGTGTTTTCCAAGGAAACCACATATCAAAGGCTGCCCAAAGACATCAGCTAACAATTATGGCTGTTACATCTCAGCACTGCTGGAAGCCTACTACTTACTAGAAAGTAAAGTGACGATTTACATCATCTGCTGCCCAAACACAAGCCATCACCCTGAGAAACAAGACTGGAAAGGCCACGTTCTTACCCCATTCTATCCCCTTCTCCTAGACCAGGGTAAATGAAGCCCATCATTTCTCCTCTGGGCAGCACGGCTCAGCCTTCCACACTTTGGAAAACCAAAGGGAATAATCCACCTTCCACCAGAAAGGAAGGGCTTGGCCGTGGGCAGCAGCGATCCTTGATGGCCTCCTGCAACACGGCTGTTCTGTCATGCCACCTCTGTGCTGAGTGGCCAGTCAGTGCCCACAGCGGTCCTGAAGCAGCCAAAACCAAGAGGTTTTCCATGCAATGTGCCCACGCGCTTCTGTGGAAGCATTCCCTCTCTGTCAGAGGCCAGTGTGTAGTAATCGACAGAAACCTCCTCTGCCTAGGCCTCCTTCTACAAGCTTAAATTAGCCCTCAAAGGATATGATTGCCCAACTTGTCTCAATTCCCTACCGGCAATTCAGAGAGCCGTTTTGAAAAATAGATGACCCTTACCAGTTTCCAATGAATCGGGGATCACTCTGGTCAATATAAACAGTTGTCCTAGGATCAACATAGAAACCAATAAGAAGTCCTCCCAGTAAGTATCCAGCTGCAGGACCAAGTGCTCCCATTACGTACATGATGGCTGAGGAAATAAAAGATCAGAGTCGTACATCAATAAAATAATGTTTCATTACTTATTTACACATCAAATCCAAAAGTAAAAGATGCCTCTTAAAGCAGGGAGTTTCATACCCCAAAACCTTCAGAGCCCTTTTTTGCAGCTTTCAAAGGCAGAAAACTCTACATAAGTAACATACTGATAAAAAAACCACTGCTTTCTGTAAATTTTCAGTCAAATCATGGATGCAAGTATATACTACTTAGCTATTTTGGATGAAAGCCATACTTGACTTTGACAATATTTTTTATATTTGGCAACACTTCATTTGAATCAAAGTAAAATTTAATACATAGAAAAAAGTATAATTAATGGTAAGCAAACAGAAAAGCAAAGGATAAAAATTGTGTAAGACACCAACGAACAAAGTGCAGCATTCCAGTTACCATCAGACTAATACTGGATTTAAAAGAACCATCAAAGTTGAGAAATAAAATATTCCTATTCTAGAGATTGACAGAAGTATGTTTTCATCTGTGTAGCCATGGACTTGCCGCTGTTTTATATGCTGATACCAACAGACCACATATACTGTATTTCCTGCAATACTCCTGCCTTGTTCAGAACATTTGATCTTTCACATTTAAAATTTTAATGCTATTTTGAAAGTGTTTAAAATTAAAATAAAACTCATGTGTGACTACACAGACACACATTTAACGCCATCATCGCTGTCTGAACACGGGATGACAGAGAAATCCTTATCACTTGGAATAACAGAGTAGGAGATACCAACTGAAGGCTCCTATCTGCTGTGTTTGCTACAAGATACTCTTTAGAGTACAGTCTCCAGTGCTGGTCCTTCAGCCATCTACACCAGGGCACAGATGAGAAAACATCGTAGCTCCCCTTTAGCTCGTGTGCCAGTGCTGTCAGGAGCTAGGGAGAGACAGATGCAAGGAAAGACTACATCTCAGCGTGGGGCCAAGACACAATGGGACCTGGGACCCAGGAAACCTTTCTGCACGCCCCCGTAGAGGTATGGTTGTGAGACACTGGCAGGAGCAGACAGAACTCAGTCCTTACTGACGAGAACCGAGTTCTGAGATTTAGGAATCCTGGTCTCATTTCCAGGGTCTGATAGGTTGATAATTTAAAGGTTGTCATATGTCTTGCCCTTAAATCTTGCCAATTCCAATCCTTTCATCTTCTCCGTCTGCAATATCAAATCAATTTTTGAACTAAACCAAGATCAGTTATCACAACCTTATATGACCTTGACCATAGCCATTTTCCAAAGATTCTTCTCTTACTCCCCTGCTCCATCACTTTCCTTCCTTGCAGTACTCATCCCTTCTAAGATGCTTCTGACCTGCTTCCCATACTGTCTACCTGTAAGCACAAAAGGCAGGAGCGGTGGTAAGGGATGGTCTCTGCTGTCCACTCACATTTCTGGTACCACCAAAACCCAAACTCCAGCAGCACAGCTTGCTGCAGACCCACTATGTAGCACATGAAAAAACAACTGATTATCTAGTTCTCTGAAAGCATCATCTTCACTGCAAAATCTCTATCTCCACATGGTTTCTGTGGAGCAGTCACTCTCCATGGCAGTATGCAGACTCCATCCTTTTTGGTCCCATTCTCAGTGATATACGCTGTGTCCTAGACCGCAGCAGCTGAGGAGTCATAACTGAGTTGTTAGAGCTTGAGTTTCTGCGTTACCAGTTATAGTAAATTATATCTCACAGACAAAATAAACAAAAATAAATCACTAAATCTGCCTGATTAAACCCAAAGAACTTGTATATTTTTGTCTTATATTTTGAAATAAGAGAAAAAAGAAAGAGAACATTCTCATGAGTAAAAAGGGGCTGCTAACTGAGAGCTATATTGTAGGGAAAAAAAAAAAAATCACAGAAGCTACCACAAAAATTAAACTGCCTATAGTAAAAAATGCTTACAGACTACAAATTGATTAAACAGATTTATCACTTTTAAGTTACTCTTTCTTAAACACATTATCAGTTTTTATAAAACTGTAATTTCAAATAATTAGATTTTGCTGAAATGCTTTTTGCATAATGGTTTCCAGAACCATGTTCACTATTTAAATTTATTCCAGCCATGTTCCCTTCTGGACTGATTGTAAACAATTCTCTGTATGCCTAAAATGCTCCACCAGACATTGTAACACTGCTCCTTAGCAGTAAGTGGTTAGATAAACCCCACAGTAACTGTTATTTGCAAAACCCACATCATGAGGAGGGAAACAAAAACCAAACTCCATCCACTATAATAAATTTTGTTCAACAAAACTTTGTTTGCTTGAAAAATTGATTCATGCAACTACAGCAAACACAGGTCTCTCAAAAGTTTACAGAGGAAGCACAAAGGGAGTAAAAGAGTGACCTAATCCATTCATTTCAGTGTTCAGTTTTTCTCCATCAGTAGAAATACTGTACAGTAAAGCTAAAAATAACAGTGTACACTGTGATACATTAGAGGAGGGAATGTTGTCAACCATTTCAGAAGTATTTTAAAGTTACTGTATGCTGTTCAGGCTTCAGTATTTTTTTTTAATATAACTTACAGGCAACGTGTAACTTTCTGGATCTTTCAGAAAACAGAAATCCCCCATGTGCCTGGACAAGGGCAAGAGGAAACTTGTGAGCACACAAGTTCCACGATGGTCATTTTAAGACACTTTGCAGTATCTTCCCCAGCACCTAGTAATGGCCACTATCAGAAACTGGACACCAAGTGCAATAAACTGATTTGGACTTCTAAATAGAACTAAGATAGAGCATGGCAAGTAAAAGATTTTGGTATTTCAAAATGAGGTACTTGAAAAAAAAATCTGGCCCAAACCTCCAAACATTGCTCTGGAAATGATCGGAGAGCCATCTCCAAGACTCACCCTGGCAGACCGCTCCAGGGTCCTGGACCACTGAAATTCTGGTCACAGCCCTTACAGCTATGCACCCCACTGCCCAGGAATAAAGAGGTTCCTGATTCCCAGCAGGCCACCAAGAGCACTGGATGACATGAAAAGGAAACTAAACCAGAAACAGATTCAATCGGGACATCATCAAAACTGAACCCACTTCACAAATAAAAAATTCTATGGAGAACTGCTCCATAATTTTTTCCACTCAGGTCACCAGAAGGTCTCCAGCTTCTGGATGAAAAAAGTTCTGAAACATGTAGATAACGTAGGAGAACCTTCCTTTCAGCCTCCTACCTGGCATTTCAGCTAGCTCTTCTTGGTCCTCCCTCTTAGGGCCATGATCTGGGGTCCTGATCTAGGGAGTTGCACCGATTCAACAGTTGAGAAGTTTCAACAACAGAATTAACAAACATTTTATCAGGGGACATGCTAGAGTACTGTGATGTAGAGGCGGGCCACATGGTATCCAGATGATTTTTTAAATTGCACTTAAAGAAATTCAGGATTTGTCTTTTAACCTCCTAGTCATAACCTTGACTGGTGCTTAGATTTGCAAGCTGCCTTCAAATTTCTTAAGTCATAAAAAACTATGCTATAAAATAACAGTAGTATCTTCTTTCCCAGGATGAAATAGAGATGATGTACATTCTACATGTTATAGCTCTACTCCAAACAATAAATCATCTTCAAAAGATAAAATGAGGAAACTGATGTTAATACAGACATATGGGCTGCAAAACTCATCTGATTCTCTTCTGACTGGTTTCCACTGAAATTAAAAATTGTACCTCTCAGAGTTACTGTATTAGCCATGCATGTTCAATGCTGGCAAGTCACTGAGAACACTTTTCTGGAAACGTGGGTCTCTCTAGGAAAGAGCATCTGCAGGTCACCCACCCCTCACTGAATTAGAGCCATCTGAGAACTACTCATGACATTCAACACAACCAGCTAAGACTGGACCTTGCAAAAGTTTTTCCCCAGAAGCCTGTCATGGCAGGCTTCAAACCAAAGCACAGGTGAGTCTAGTAAAATTACATGGTATTTTAACAAGACAATGTCAAAGACCAAAGACCTTGCAGATTCTTTAAAGTTTCCCTTTTCTCTGAAGACATGTGTTGTGGGGAAGAGTTTGCACTAGCAACCATACCTCTGCCTCAGTGCACCTTCTCTTCAGTGACAAAGGACAGCCTTTCCCAGCTCTCCCAAACCTGGTCTTTCAGAACATAGTTCTACCTCTGACATAGACTGTACATAAGTAAAAATACCCTGGTTCAGACACACTTAAGTGCCATTTACCCCCCCACGCTATCCAGCCATGCTTATTTTAATTCCTTTGAAGTTCTGCACCTGAGGAGCTTCTCTGCCTGCCTGAGTATGCCCTCAGCATGGCCTGTGATCTCAGGCATAACACCACACTAGCAAGGCTGACTAGTTTCAAAACTGCAGCTGGGCATGGCTAGTCAGGCTTAGCCACAAACATCCACCACAGCGGAGATGCTGGATGGGAGAGAGAAAGGGAGTCAAAGCAACAGTAACTGAATTACACATGGAATTTACCTACCAAAGCAAAATAAGATTAAGCAATGTCATTCTCCACTGGGACATGTTGCAATGAATGCTGTCATTCTGACAACATTTGACAAAATTATAATATTGTCTATTGCTTCTATTCACAGGAGATTCTTCAATAGAAGAAAGCTTTACGTATACCCTACTGCAGCAAAGTCTCTATGACTACAGTAAAATGGACTGAATTCTCTAGGGGTCCAAAAATCCCTGTGCTCACATCACATGCATGAAATAACTTTGTTGCCAAAGATTTTATTTTTTGTAAACTACCCACACTAAAGATATATACTGAGACAGAGGTCATAAAAATACTTCGAATGTCCTTTTCTTCCTCTAGTCACACCAAGTGACAACTTCAATACGCTTTGCATAGGGGAATATATAACATATGTCCCCTGTGGCATCCTCAAATGCATACAGTGTTAACCCTCTAACTGTGCCTTGTTGTATTAGTAATGCTAGTACCAATTAAAGTTGCAAGCCTCATATTGTGCCTAATTGA